TTGGGTGAGGTTCGGCGTCGTCTGCGGTTTGCTTAGCGTTGGGATGCGGGGCCGTTCGTGTGTTGGGGAGGTGGGAGGGCGGGGGGGTTGGGGGTTCTTTGTCTACATTCAGCGTGCATCTGGTCAGGTTTCAGGCCCGCATTTGTTGTTTGTTTAGGGTTCGGAATGGCGAGTTCGGCGGCCTCTCCGGTTAGTGTTTCGGGGGGGGTGGGGGTTCTTTGTCTACATTCGGCCTGCATCTGGTCAGGTTCCGTGCCCGCATTTCGTTGTTTGTTTAGGGTTCGGAATGCCGAGTTCGGCTTCCTCTGCAGTTACTGTTTCTATGCGGGCCCGTTGGTGTGGGGGTGTTTGTTGTCTAGATTCACCCGGCCCTTTGGGTCGTTCGGTTGGCCTGAATGTGCTGTGCTTTTTGGCCTGGGTGCATCTGGCATGTTTTCTACTGGGCCTCTTTTCTTTGTCACGGCGCGGTAGGGGCGATGCTCTTGGGGGGCCCTGGATGTGGTCTCGATATGAGGCGCGATGCTCTTGGGCGAGGTTCGGTGTCACCTGCGGTTTGCTTATTGTTCGGATTGGGGGCCGTTTGTGTGCTGGGGAGGTGGGAGGGCGGGGGGGTTGGGGGTTCTTTGTCTACGTTCGGCCTGCATCTGGTCAGGTTTCAGGCCCGCATTCATTGTTTGTTTAGGGTTCGGAATGGCGAGTTCGGCGTCCTATGAGGTTTGTGTTTCGATGCGGGCCTGTTGGTGTGGGGGTGTTTGTTGTCTAGATTCAGCCGCCCCTGTGGGTCGTTCGGTTGGCCTGCATGTGCTGTGCTTTTGGGGCCGGGTGCATCTGACGTATTTTCTGCTGGCCTGCTTTCCTTTGTCACGGCGCCGTATCTGCCGTCGGTCGTGGTGGGATCCCTGGGAAAAAAAAGTCGCAAAAGTTCACAGTTGGTCCTGCGGTTTTACCTGGTTGTCTTCGTGGGGAAGGTGCGTAGTCTCGCGGCGTTGCAGGTGCATGCATTTCGGCCTGGGTGCATCTGTCGTCGGCCGGTTTTACCTGGTCGTCTTGGTGGGGAAGATGCGCAGTCTA